CCCATATAGCCCACCTCCAGATAAATGATGATAAAATATTGGAAAAAAAATTGTCTATTCTCAAGTGAAATGTCATGTTTTCGGTCGTGTTTAGGTTGGAGACAGATGCTACAATGATAAAATGTATGAAGCAGCCAAGATTTTATACAACAATATTTCCAACTATGGTCGCCTCGCTTCAACCTTAGTTCATCTTGGCGAGTTCCAAGCCGCTGTGGATGGCGCCAGGAAAGCAAACAGCACTCGAACTTGGAAAGAGGTAGGTTGGACATTAATAAGAGATTGCTCTTGCTGGACAGGGAGAACAGTTTAGAACTGATAGAGCTATCCAGTATAAATAAAGTTAGTTTAGTTTAGGTTTCCTCCTGTAGTAACACTGGATCAATAAGAGATGATACTTACTGGACCTCTAGGAAGAACAGTTTAGAACTGATAGAGCTATCCAGTGTAAATAAAATTTGTTTAGTTTAGGTTTCCTCCTGTTGTAACACTGGATCAATAAGAGATGATACTTATTGGACCTCTAGGAAGAACAGTTTAGAACTGATAGAGCTATCCAGTGTAAATAAAGTTAGTTTAGTTTAGGTTTCCTCCTGTAGTAACACTGGATCAATAAGAGATGACTCTTACTGGATCTCTTGGAAGAACAGTTTAGAACTGACAGAGCTATCCAGTATAATAAACGTTTAGTTGAGTAGTTTAATTTCTACTGTTAATTGCTGAAGTAAACAGTCTTTAACTTCTTGAGGGGGTATTAGCCTTGCTTCTAATTGGCTGTTTTTCTTCAATTCTTGATTGCGATTGATTGTTTCTCTTTCAGGTTTGTTTTGCCTGCGTGGACAGTGAAGAATTCCGTCTCGCTCAGATGTGTGGTCTCCATATCGTCGTCCACGCAGACGAGCTGGAAGAACTGATCAACTATTACCAGAACCGCGGCCATTTTGAAGAACTGATTCAACTGCTGGAAGCCGCGCTAGGCCTGGAGCGAGCTCACATGGGCATGTTCACAGAACTGGCTATCTTATACTCCAAATACAAACCTGCGAAAATGAGAGAGCATCTGGAACTGTTTTGGTCCAGAGTTAATATCCCCAAGGTGCGCTTATCTTTCTTGTATTGTAGTTTTCTCGTCTATTGTGTCTATCTGTGGAAGGGTCTCGTCTTGTGTCTATCTTGTATAGTATATTTAACCACTGAACTACTACGCACTCTCCCCTCCCTAGGTACTCCGTGCAGCCCCAAATCCTGATATTGTATCTATCATATATTTAACCACTGAACTACGCACTCTCCCCTCCCTAGGTACTCCGTGCAGCCCCAAATCCTGGTATTGTATCTATCATATATTTAACCACTGAACTACGCACTCTCCCCTCCCTAGGTACTCCGTGCAGCCCCAAATCCTGATATTGTATCTATCATATATTTAACCACTGAACTACGCACTCTCCCCTCCCTAGGTACTCCGTGCAGCAGAGCAAGCTCATCTCTGGGCAGAGTTAGTTTTCCTGTACGAGAAATATGAAGAATACGACAACGCCATACTCACCATGGTCGCTCATCCAACTGTGGCTTGGAAAGAAGCTCAATTTAAAGATATCATCACAAAAGTCGCGAATATCGAGCTGTACTACAAAGCACTCCAGTTCTATCTCGACTATAAACCCATTCTCCTGAACGATCTTCTGATCGTCCTCACCCCCCGTATGGATCATACGAGAGCTGTGACGTACTTCCGCAAAATCAACCATCTATCGTTGGTGAAGCCTTACCTGCGGTCTGTTCAAAATCATAACAACAAGGTCGTGAACGAGGCATTGAATGATCTTTTGATCGACGAAGAGGATTATAATGGCCTCCGTGCTTCTATTGATGCATTTGATAATTTCGATAACATCGCCTTAGCTCAGAGACTTGATAAACATGAGTTGGTCGAGTTTCGTAGAATTAGTGCGTATTTATACAAAGGAAATAATAGATGGCAGCAATCTGTTGAGTTGTGTAAGAGAGATAAATTATACAAGGTATGCATTGAATTTGCAGGAAGGTAATGTGTGTTAATACTGGCTACGTTTACACTTCTCCCAGAGAGCTTTCCGTAGCGACGTGAAAAAAAAAACAACTGTCCGTACCTTCAGGAACGCTATTTTCGGAGGAATTCTTGCAACGGACTGGAGAGATGTTGTTTCGCTCAGTTCTGAAAGTTGTACATTCCGTATCGGGTAGGTGCTTTTTCGCGCCGCTACGGAAAACTATCTGGTATAGTGGAAACGTAGCCACGGGGAGCGATAATCCGCGTACTTATGTACCCGAGGTACGCCAATATTACGGTTTGGTACTTCTTTGTTTTCAGCGACGTACCACGTAGGTACGCAGATGGCAATAGTTCCGCGTAGGGGCGTACTTACATTTTGCTGGTACCATATGACCTTCCCAAACTCAATGTACTCAAAACCGTAATGGGCCTATTACCTAATGAACAAAATTTTGATCTAGACAAGTCTAGACAAAAATTTCAACACAGCTTGAAAGAGCATCACAAAATTAGTAATATACCGCGTGTGCGCGACAATAATCATTAGAGTACCAGCCAGCTACGATTGAAAATCTTGAATGGTCGCACCTTGGTTAATAGAATCAGTTCACACGTGTTTATGACGTTATATTTCACTTTCCAGGATGCAATGATCTACTCATCGGAATCTAGGAATGCTGAAATTGCGGAAGATCTTCTAAACTGGTTCTTAGAAAATAAGAATTACGAATGTTTCGCCTCGGCGCTGTTCACGTGTTATGATTTACTGCATCCTGATGTCGTGTTAGAGCTGGCATGGAAAAATAATATCCTTGATTTTGCCATGCCTTACGTCATTCAAGTTTTAAAAGAATACATAACAAAGGTAAGTTTGTTTGAAAACATGGTCAACATTTATTTATATGTGTGGCATTTGTTGTTTTGAAGCGCAATAGGTGTTGATAGCGCATGTGTCTTTCGCCTCTTTGACCGAGGTTTGATTCCTGTGATATGCAGTTGTCTCATCATAATTTCACCTCAGTCACATGTGAGAAGAGTGCTTCCAGTTTGATTCTACCAAAGATCACCAGGTTTTCACCAGGTACTCTTGTTTCCTCCTGTAGTTACACCAGACTAGTAAGGGGTGGTGGCTCTTACTGGACGTCTGGGGACTGATAGTATAAATCCAGTATAACAAAGTTAGTTTAAGTTTCAATTATTTATTGGATCAATAAGAGATGATCCTTACTGGACCTCTAGCGAGAACAGTTTAGAACTGATAGAGAGCCATCCAGTATAAATAAAGTTAGTTTAGTTTAGGTTTTCTCCTGCAGTAACACTGGATCAATAAGAGATGATCCTTACGGGACCTCTAGGGAGAACAGTTTAGAACTGTTAGAGCTATCCAGTATAAATAAAGTTAGTTTAGTTTAGGTTTCCTCCTGTAGTAACACTGGATCAATAAGAGATAACCCTTGCTGGACCTCTAGGGAGAACAGTTTAGAACCGATAGAGCTATCCAGTATAGATAAAGTTAGTTTAGTTCAGGTTTCCTCCTGTAGTAATACTGGATCAATAAGACATGACCATTACTGGACCTCCAGGGGAAGACCAGTTTAGTTTAGTTTAACAGTTTAGTTTAGTTTAGGTTTCTTCCTGGGGGAGCCAGTAACATAACATAAACATACTTTTGTTCTCTCGCCAGGTGGATAGCCTCGCGACATCAGAGAAAGAACGCAAAGATCAAGAAGAAACAAAGCAAGATCAACCTTTAGTATTTGGTAAGTATCAGCCCTTTGACTCGACTACAGTATCGCTTACAGAAACGCGCTAATTTGGTTGTGATTGCACTATCCAGTATTATAGTTAGTTCAGTAGTCTCTAATCTCCGACTACTTTCTTTATTAGGAAATGATCAACTCATGTTAACCGCTGGTCCTAACATTGCGCCACCGCCGGCTGCAGCGATGGTACCTCCTGGTATGGCACCCGGAATGGTTCCCCCGGGCGGGCAGATGATGTACGGCGCCGGGTACCCCCCAGCACAACCTGGTTATCCCCAGCAATACTAGGAGAACTATTTTAATATGTAGTAGAAATATGCAAATTTTAAAACCAAACTTTTCTGCAAACCCTTTCCCTGCGTTCACACTGACGAAAAGATTCAGCATTGATTAAAGACGATGAATTATGAGTATATAGACGAGAGATTGTGCCATATAGGAAATTTAATTTTTGTTACTCGGTAATTAATTATAGCATGCGATTGAATAAAATATAACAGAATCAATTTTGTTTCATAACTTGTGGATTTTAGTTTAGTGGGCTGTGCGTAACTTAAAGTATAACAACAGCGCCATCTAGTCACGAATTCAGTTTTGTTCTCTGCGATCTACTTTCCGCAATGGATTTATTCCCTAATGAACAAAATTTTCATCTAGACAAAAATTTCATCACAGCTTCAAAGAGCATCACAAAATTAGTAATATTCCGAAGTTTTGTTGCGAAATGTTGTAAAATGCGGATAATATAGCCCTGCGAAGTTTGCCGTTTTTCAGTCTTTTTGTATTACGCACGGGAAATTGATACTTTTTTTCAGAAAGCTCAAAGCTGTATCAATTTCCCGTTTGTAATACAAAATGACTGAAAAAGGCAAACTTCGCAGGGCTATATTACCCGTATTTTACAACATTTCGCAGCGAAACTTAGGAATATTACTAATTTTGTGATGCTCTTTTCAAGCTGTGATGAAATTTTTGTCTAGACATGTCTAGATCAAAATTTTGCTCATTAGGGAATAGGTCAATTGGAATTAAAGTGCGTCAAGAAAATACGCTAAATAATTTGTTTCATCATCAAACGAGGGATCTAAACAAACAGCTTGAATGCCAAGCTTTCTCAAGGTCTCAACTTGCTGGACGCGGATATACTATTTCTAACTGGCTAACAACAGCAACAACGAAATTCTTTATCGTACCATGACGGAGGCGATGTACAGTAGCTCAGAAAACAACGCCGGTAGGACCTGATAAATAAGACTTTTGCCGAAGCCAGTTGGCAGAACAGCAAAGACATCTTGGGCCTTGGCTGTCAACAACAAGTACGAGCACATGACTTTTGCTGTTCTTTTAGCGTCGTGTGTCCAAACTTCGTCAAAGATTTTGATAAAGCCCTTTCAAAATATTGTTTGTTTGATTTATTTTCTGCCATGAAGCATAAAACAAAAGAAATTCGATAAAACCATAGCAGCCCAAAATTCCATGTTTTTTACCTTAAAAATCAATTTTATGCATAATATTCCTTTCATATGATGCTTGTGATGTTACTCTGAGTGTGTATCCACACCGGGCAGGCTTGAAAAATATGCCTGGCCACGGTGGGAATCGAACCTACGACCTTTGGAATACTAACCCAATGCTCTGCCAACTGAGCTACGCGGTCAGGTCGGTTCGAGTATGCGATATTTCGGAACTATTTCGGAGTCTAGCTACTTCGATATCAGTGTAATCTAATAATCATGATACTTGCTGCGTTGGTGTGACTCAGTTCCGAAATATCACATACCGACCTGACCGCGTAGAGCATTGGGCTAGTATTCCAAAGGTCGTAGGTTCGATTCCCACCGTGGCCAGGCATATTTTTCAAGCATGCCCGGTGTGGATATACACTCAGAGTAACATCACACAAACATCTTATTCACCTGAGTACACTACACCGACGCAGCAAGTATCATTCCTTTCATAGCTGGCGGAATTGGTAATTTGTCGCGCGATAGTCGGTCAGTCTCGCGTGACGTTCGTGTAGTCGTATCAGTTTAATATATTCTCAAGAATATTCTTGAGAATATATTAAACAGATACGACGACACGAACGTCTTGTACATTGACCGAGCTATTTATAAAATATTGTTTTATATGCGAACTTGCAACCAATTTTGATCTTTCATGATGCTGATCAACCAGATTTCCCGTCCACCAGATGGACGGGAATCCCATGGTTTTATAGACCGTCAGAGATGACCGTGGTGTAGTCATCTGTATCAAGCGTACGCCATTTCACCAGTCGTTCATTGTTTTAAATTATATTAGCATTTATGTAAATTTGCAAAATGCCCAAGTAGCGAAACGTTCTGCTGAGAATGTTTTGATCTGTGAGGCCAGATCTTCACCAGTGCAAGACTTAGGATCGAAAGGCTTCTGGAATATGTAAACATGCTCTTTACCATGAAAACCTGCTAGGAATTTACAGTTACTGACACATTAATATCTTGGCCTTCACATTATTGTTTAGACTGCCTATTTTATAACCAGAATAATTTTGTATATTATTTGTGACGTGTTCTGTATTAACACGCTTAGCCCGTCAACCGAAACTGATTTGCTACACGGCTTAATAATAACCGTAAAATAGGTATGGCTGGACGCGGTATTCTATCATATTGTGCTTTTCTTTTCGCGTTTCTTAGTGCAACCGGTGCAAATGAACGGTATGCTTGCGACAACCGAATTTTCTGTCAAGGAAAAATACTTCATTCTGTGCAGATGGCGAAAATATTTGACGATGCCAAGACTTTTGTTGATATGCGAATGAAGTACGACGTGGCGGATATTGAAAGGAATTTCATTGCTCTGGGAGTTAAACCATCTGAAGAACAACTCAAGAAATTTGTGGCAGAGAATTTCAGCCCGGCTGGGCATGACTTAGAGCCATTCATTCCCGAAGATTGGGTGGAAAAACCCGAACGTTTGAATAAAATTCGGGACGGGAGATTGCGACAGTGGTCGTTCAGGCTGAATAAACTTTGGAAAGACCTTTGTAGGAATATCACGAGAGAAGCACGTGGACAAAGTAAGCGGTCTTCACTAATAGTCGTCCAGAATCCTTTCATTGTTCCCGGGGGGAGATTTCGTGAATATTACTACTGGGACTCGTACTGGATATTACATGGAGTATTGACCTGTGGAATGTATGATACCGCTAAAGGAATGATTACCAATTACCTCGATCTCGTGCGTCGCTATGGTTTCATACCAAATGGTGGGAGAATTTACTATTTGAACAGAAGTCAGCCACCATTCCTGATTCAGATGGTCGACTTGTACTACAGTTACACTAAAGACCTACAATTCGTGCTTACCAATTTGGAAGTTCTTGAAAATGAGTATAATTTCTGGGAAAAATATCGCAGTGTTACTCTGAAAGTGTCGGGAAAGCCTCACAGTTTTGCAATTTACAAAGCCACCATGACGACCCCCGGCCAGAGTCGTACTGGCATGATTACGAGGTAGCTGAGAGATTTAGTGACCAACACATGAAGTCTAGGTTCTACCAAGCTGTGGCGTCTGCAGCAGAGAGCGGCTGGGACTTCTCTAGTCGTTGGTTTAACCAATCAGGTGCCAGCTCTTTCAAAGTTTTTCAAATTAACTGGCAGCCAAACAAAATCGACGAAATATCAGGAATTAGCCAATCATAGAAAGCTTGCAATCGAGGCTCTGCTTTGGAACGAGGCTGCTGGAGCCTGGGCCGATTATGACGTCTCAAAGCAAAGCAATACTAAAGCTTTTTACGCATCAATCGTCGTCCCGCTTTGGGCAGGTCTCGCGCGAGAAAATAAAACACGCGAGGAACTTGTGTTCGCGAACATGAAACGCGCAAAGGTTTTAGATTTTCCAGGAGGCTTGCCCACATCTTTGAACCAGTCGGGCCAGCAGTGGGATTTCCCAAATGGGTGGCCCCCCTTGCAACATATGCTCATCATTGGTCTCACCAAGTCCAATTCAATATTGCTCCAAAACGAGGCTAAGAAATTTGCTCAGTCCTGGGTTCTAAGCAACTGGATGGGGTTTAAACGGACCGGTTATATGTTTGAGAAATATAACGTGACGTCTGAGGGGAACACGGGACAAGGGGGTGAATACAAGCCACAGATTGGATTTGGATGGACTAATGGGGTCATTTTGGATTTATTGGTCAGGTTCCCGGATCTCAAGGTCAGTGTGACCAGATTTGGTAAAAAGTTTTACTTTTGGTAAAATTTCGTGAATTTTCAAAAAAATTTGGTAATGTCTTTTGGTAAAATCTAAAAGTTTTAATTATTAATAATCATTTTGGTAAAAATGTGTGTTTCTTGTTTAATAACGTGTTCAAAGTGATGAACAGAACTGCCAAGCCTAAGAAATAAAGCCTTATCATTAGCAAAAATTGCAATACGTATTTCGAGATACCTTTTTGGGCATATTTTTTCTACTTTGATGACGCAGCTATTGTTTTTGGCATTATAATGACCTAAATGACGTAATTATTTGTGAAGCCGACATTTGGTAAAATGTTTCTTAATTTAGTAAATTTGAACAAAATTTTGTCATTAGACTACTGAAAAAATCTGGTCACACTGATCAAGGTTGAAATTGAAAACAATGCTGTCGCCCTTGGTGTATCCGTGCTTCCTTGTTTGTTGTTGATCAGCTTGGCTGGAGTTTTTAATTGATCTTTAACTTGATATGGATGGTGGAATTTGATTGTCACCAAATACAATACTACAATACTGTCAATGGACCATTCCCCAATTAACCAAAATTTTGATTTCAACAAGTCTAGACAAAATACCATCATAGTTTGAAAGAGCATCGCAAAATTAGTAATATTCCAAAGTTTCGTTGCGAAATGTTGTAAAATGCGGATAATATAGCCTTGCGAAGCTTGTAATTTTCAGTCATTTTGTATTACGTACAGAAGTGGTAATTACCATTTCCCGTTTGTAATCTAAAATGACTGAAAATTGCAAATTTCGCAAGGCTATATTATTCGCATTTTACAACATTTCGCAACGAAACTTTGGAATATTACTAATTTTGTGATGCTCTTTCAAGCTGTGATGAAATTTTTGTCTAAACTTGTTGAGTTCAAAATTTTGGTTAATTGGGGAATGGTCCATAGAGACATATATTGATAACAACAGGTTGACCACCATCTGCTGCACGATAGTGCTTAGTGAAACACAGCTGTTGAACGTTTATAAAGTGAATAAAATTGAATCATAATTGCCTAATATTATCCAATAATAAAAAGTGAACTTATGTATAATAAATAATAATTTTTCAATGTAGAATACATTGTGTTTTTGATTATAGTTTGCAAGTTGTCTATCCAATTAAATTATTGTCGATTTCATGTCACTTTTCAACGCGCAGTTTCCAAGTTCGTTGCGAACTTGCCAATTAAGAGATGATCCTTACTGGACCTCTAGGGAGAACAGTTTAGAACTGATAGAGCTATCCAGTATAAATAAAGTTAGTTTAGTTTAGGTTTCCTCCTGTAGTACTCACACTGGATCAATAAGAGATGATCCTTACTGGACCTCTAGGAAGAACAGTTTAGAACTGATAGAGCTATCCAGTATAAATAAAGTTAGTTTAGTTTAAGTTTCCTCCTGGGGCCGGTTGTTCAAAGGTGGGTTAATGCTAACCCTGGGTTAAAATTTAACCTGCTGTTTTAGTTTGTGTACTTCTACACATCTGTGTATTTCAAAACTTCAGAGAAGTAAACTCCTATCGATCCAGACAAGATCTCCGAAGAAATATTTCCAAATTTATAGAAAAGCTGTCAGGAAGTTCGCTTCAAATTTTAGGTTAATCTAGGGTTAAACTAACCCAGCTTTGAACAACCGGCCCCTGTTGTAACACTGGATCAATAAGAGATGATCCTTACTGCACCTCTATAGGGTGAACAGTTTAGAACTGATAGAGCTATCGAGTATAAATAAAGTTAGTTTAGTGTTGGTTTCCTTCTGTAGTATCACTGGATCAATAAGAGATGATCTTTACTGGTCCTCTAGGAAGAACAGTTTAGAACTGATAGAGCTATCCAGTAGAAATAAAGTTAGTTTAGTTAAATTAAAGAGATGATTCTCACTGGACCTCCAGAATGTTAGGGTTTGTAATCCAAGTGAGTATATATACATTTTAAGACCTGACCAGGAACGACTGCGAAGAATGCAGCACAAGGTCCTCGGCTGTGTGCTGCATTTTTCGCAGCCGTTCCTGGTCATGATCAAGTCTTAAAATGTATATATACTCACTTGGATTACAAACCCTAACATTCTAATATTAATTCCACCAAGTGAAGTGCAAGAAACCAAATCATTGAAGTTTTCATAAAAGGCGTACAGAAGTGTAGCCAGGGGCCTGTGTTTGTAGTATATTTATTTACTTTTATTATATAGTAGAGAGTGAGATACTGAGAAATACACAGTGACATATTTTCCATATCTTCACTAGTGAAGATATCGATCACGTGACTTTTAGTATTTATACAATTTTTTGCTTGCGACTATATAATAAACAGAACATTACACGGTGGCTTGAAGATATGACTTTTATCTTCTTGTGTTAAAAACAATATTTTACTCACTCGCTGCGCTCGTTCGTAAAATATTGTTTTCACCACTCGAAGATAAAAGTCATATCTTCGCGCCGCCGTGTAATATCCTCTATGTATTTCACGTTTTAATGCCACAATTCCCAAAAAAGATCGGTGACCCCCGTTTTTTAACTGATAATGTATTTCTTTAATGCATTTTACATATCATATCCGGAATTAAAAGAAATATCATTTCTGGATCTTGAAAAAAAATCCTTTATCAATGCATGTTCTCAAAGAAAGATATGTAAAGAAATGTGGAAAAGACATTTGTGGATCAGAATTGTACACGTTAGTAGTTTCATTTTTCTCAAAACACAATATTTTTTCAAAAATAATTACAAGATAAATTTACTAAAGCAAAACCCGAGCTAAAAACGTCAATAAATATCGGGCTATTCGGTGATTTTGCTGTTACTCGTAATGAGCGTCAAGATGGAGCCACATCAGGGCCTTTTTTAACATACAAGCTGGGGGGGCATTTGGCCCCCCCAGTCCCTCCTTGTGCCCCCCACGAAATCACATTTTGCCCCCCCAGGAAAAGTCCCTTTTTCCTAAAATTATATAAACAATCCAGCGAAGATTAACAAATAGATAAACGGAAAGTAAGTTTTAGGCTTTATCCTTTGTTCTTGTTTAACAAAATTGATTTAAATTGTTACTTTTTTTACCACTAAGTAATGATAAATTATTGTTAATATTTTTTTTATTTTTTGGATGCTCAGAATGCAGGAAATAGCATTTCACGGTTTCAAATTTCAAAAATTTTCTTGGGATTATCCCTCTAATAAGTAATGATAAATTACAGTTAATATTCTTTTTTACTTTTAATTTTGTGCATTTTCCATCTTTTATTTCAAATACAACTATAGTTAGCATAGATTTTAGAGCAAATTTGGATGCTCAGAATGCAGGAAATGGCATTTCCGTGGTTCAAATTTCAAAAATTTTCTGGGGGAGTACACCCCCACACACCTGACCATTGCTATCCTCCTCTAATAAGTAACGATAAATGATGGTTAATTTTTTTACTTTTTGTGCGTTTCTTCCTTTATTTATTTCAAATACAAGTATGGTTAGCCAGTTAGGATAAATTTTGGAGCAAATTTGGATGCTCAGACTGCAGGAAATGACATTTCCGGGAGTCAAATTTCAAAAATTTTCTGGGGGAGTACACCCCCAGACCCCCCATTCATGCGTGGTATATTTGCCACACACGTGGCTTTCAGCCATTGCTATCCCCCTCTAAAATATTATCTCACAGAAAGGTTCCTTTTCAAAAAATGCCCCCCCACGGGAAAATCCTTAAAAAAGGCCCTGAGCCACATTGGGGTAAAGGTGGTATATTGTGATTGTTATATTTTCTTAACGAGTTCAGTGACCCCGACTTTTTTGTGTGATTTTACTTTAAGTACAGGGACGCCGAAACGATGTGAAGGCAAGGGGGGCAGATTTTCGTGAAAGGGCACTTTTGAATTGATATATACTAAGAGATGTTTGCAAAACATCGGGAGTTGAACTTCGCCTAATCATGTTTTCTATTTATTGGATGATAGGGGTGTGAGGGGGTTCTCCGCCAGGCAATTGTGCTATTCTTGAAGCTCGATGACTGCATTTCTTGCGTTTTCTGAAGCAAATACGTAAAAGAATTTCTCTAACATTTCTGACAATTCGCTATTTCGCCAAGGCAATCCTTTAAATTGAAAGGGCATCTTTGCCCCCCGTGCCCCTCCTGGTAAAGGGCAACGGGGGCGGCTGCCCCTCCTGCCCCCCAGTTCCGGCGTCCCTGTTTAAGTATATCATCGGACTCCATGCCTGGGAAGTTTCAGCACATTCTCATTTCGGGAACAATTACTGCGGAACTACCTTAATTAATATGTAGTAGAAATATGCAAATCAGTTTAAAACCAAACTTTTCTGCAACCCGGCCTTTCCCTGCGTTCATACTGACGAAATGAGGCCAGATCTTCGCCAGTGCAAGACTTAGGATCGAAAGGCTTGTGAAATAGGACTGACATGCTCTCTATCATGCAAACCTGCTAGGAATTTACTTTGATGACACATTATCTAGTGGCCTTTGCATTATTGTTTGGACTACCTACCGGGCATTGCGATTGATGTGTTTCTACTAATTGAATAAGGTTGAAAGTACAGACGATACTGAAAACATATGTCCAACAAATTCGTCAAGGTTCAAAGGAACTATGAAAATTTCACAGAAAGCTGTAGCAGATTATAAGAAAGTCGCACAAAAGTAATTCGTGGAAGACGTGTACAAGAATTTAATCCAGTTTCTCGGAATTTAACAGTCGTATTTCAGTCTTAGTATTAAACCAGATAACGTCAACGCCGTTTATGTAAAATAGGTATGGCTAGACGCGATATTTTATCATATTGTACGTTTCTTTTCGCGTTTCTTAGTGCAACCGGCACAAATGAACGATATGCTTGCGACAACCGAATTTTCTGTCAAGGAAAAATACTTCATTCTGTGCAGATGGCGAAAATATTTGACGATGCCAAGACTTTTGTTGATATGCGAATGAAATACGACGTGGCGGATATTGAAAGGAATTTCATTGCTCTGGGAGTTAAACCATCTGAAGCACAACTCAAGAAATTTGTGGCAGAGAATTTCAGCCCGGCTGGGCATGACTTAGAGCCATTCATTCCTGAAGATTGGGTGGAAAAACCCGAACGTTTGAACAAAATTCGGGACGGGAGATTGCGACAGTGGTCGTTCACCTTGAATAAACTTTGGAAAGACCTCGGTAGGAATATCACGAGCGAGGCACGTGGACAAAGTCAGCTGTCTTCACTAATAGTCGTCCAGAATCCTTTCATTGTTCCCGGGGGGAGATTTCGTGAATATTACTACTGGGACTCGTACTGGATATTACATGGAGTATTGACCTGTGGGATGTATGATACCGCTAAAGGAATGATTACCAATTACCTCGATCTCGTGCGTCGCTATGGTTTCATACCAAATGGTGGGAGAATTTACTATTTGAACAGAAGTCAGCCACCATTCCTGATTCAAATGGTCGACTTGTACTATAGTTACACCAAAGACTTACAATTCGTGCTTAGCAATTTGGAAATTCTTGAAAATGAGTATAATTTCTGGGGAAAATATCGCAGTGTTACTGTGAAAGTGTCAGGAATGCCTCACAGTTTTGCAATTTACAAAGCCAACATGACGACCGCCCGGCCAGAGTCGTACTGGCATGATTACGAGGTAGCTGAAAGATTCAGTAACCAACACATGAAGTCGAGGTTCTACCAAGCTGTGGCGTCTGCAGCGGAGAGCGGCTGGGACTTCTCTAGTCGTTGGTTTAACCAATCAGACGCCAGCATTGGGAAATTTGAATCAATACACACAACCGAAATTATTCCAATTGATCTTAATTCAATTTTGTTTAAAAACGCTCTGACACTTTCAAAGTTTTTCAAATTAACTGGCAGCCAAACAAAATCGAAGAAATATCAGGAATTAGCCAATCATAGAAAGCTTGCAATCGAGGCTCTGCTTTGGAACGAGGCTGCTGGGGCCTGGGCTGACTATGATGTCTCGACGCAGAGCAATACTAAAGCTTTTTACGCATCAATCGTCGTCCCGCTTTGGGCTGGTCTCGCACGAGAAAATAAAACACGCGAGGAACTTGTGTTCGCGAACATGAAACGCGCAAAGGTTTTAGATTTTCCAGGAGGCTTGCCCACATCTTTGAACGAGTCGGGCCAGCAGTGGGATTTCCCAAACGGGTGGCCCCCCTTGCAACACATGCTCATCATTGGCCTCACCAAGTCCAGTTCAATATTGCTCCAAAACGAGGCTAAGAAATTCGCGCAGTCCTGGGTTCTAAGCAACTGGATGGGGTTTAACCGAACCAGTTATATGTTTGAGAAATATAACGTGACGTCTGAGGGGAACACAGGGCGAGGGGGTGAATACAAACCACAGGTTGGATTTGGATGGACTAATGGGGTCATTCTGGATTTATTGGTCAGGTTCCCGGATCTCAAGGTTGAAAACAATGCTGTCGCCCTTGGTGTGTCCGTGTTTCCTTGCTTATTGTTGATCAGCTTGGCTGGAGTTTTTAATTGATCTTTAACTTGATTTCGATGGTGGTCAATATGGCACCCAAACTCCATAGGAACAAGAAAATTAAACTCTGACTTCTGTCGAGTTTAATTTAACATTGATAACACCAGGTTGACCACCATCTGCTGCACGATAGTGCTTAATAGTGAAACACAGCTGTTGAACGTTTATAGTCTTTATAAAGTGAATAAAATTGAATCATAATTGTCTAATATCATCATATTGTCTAATTGTCATAATATTATGTATAATAAAAAATAATTTTTCAATGTAAAATACATTGTATTGTGTTTTTGATTATAGTTTGCAAGTTGTCTATCCAATTAAAACCTCGTCTCGTTGAAGTTTCACCAGTGGCGTGCTGGGTAGGGCGGTCCGGGGGCATGCCCCCCAGGAAAATTTGTGAATTTAGAGTCTCTGAAAAATTTAGAGTCTCTGAAATTTAGAGTCTCTGAAATGCTGATGGTCAGGAAACGGCATTATAACGTGTAGAAATTTGTAATTTGGTTTGAATTTAGTAGTAGTGGTACTTATATTATGCAATGCTAACAACTTCCAGCGATTAATCTAATCCCAATTCTATTCTCTACTGATCGAGTGATCTGAATACAATAATTACACCATACAATGTTTCTTGCGCAAACAACTAAATTGCGTACACAAATTTACATTATCATAACTTAAAGTTAAACTATCTAATTTGCGCCGCTCTTGTGATTCGTGAAGCATAATAAAGGGCATAATACCAGCAAAAAAGGGCATAATTCCCGTGATCGCTTCGAAACCTGACCAATATTCCGGTGATGAGACAGTGCGTGTGATCACAGTTCATGTTTCTACATGAACGATTTCGTGTGAGCCGTGAGGTATAATAGCAAGTTAGCAAATACGGTTAGACAAAATAGTCTGTATAATTTAATATATCACTTTGTCGTATATTCGCTTAGTCTGTTTTGTAAGCCTATAAACACATCTTTTCTCGGCGGAAGTAACTATATTTTTTCGAATGCGTTTTTTCCCCACCCACTTTCGAAACTCGGCGCGGGATCGGCGCCCCTTTTTCATTTTTGCGCCCTGCAAGAATTGCCAGCTGGGGGGGGGGGCATGGCCCCCCGGCCCCCCCTGCCAGCACGCCACTGTATTCAGGTAAAATTCTTTCACATCTCGACGTTTTGCTTCTGTTCACGCTTAGATGGTAATTATGCAAATAATTTTCAATATCTGAGAAGGCGAACATGTACAGTCGGGGTGGAGTCGTAAATCCCCGGAAAACAATCGCAACGCAGAAGTTGCAAAATGGATAAATATTGCAGAACATTGTTAATAAATTTTGATGAAATTTTGTGTAAAACGTCAAAAATGCTTCCAAAATGAGTAAAGTTTGCAAGCTTTGGATTCACCAATCTAACTTTAGTGAAGAGGACCTTGTTTTGAATCCGAAAGATTTCCAAAATGGCCTAAACGAAAACGATATTCTCCAAATTTATCAAATATTTGAGGACGGTTCAGGCACATGCAAACTACTGCTGCAAATCAAGTCCCTTCAAACTGACTTTCAACAAAAAGAGACAATCAGTCTCAAACATTCTGTTGCAAGTAAATTTAAGTTTCGGGCATACTGGGAGGTCCATGTTGAAATAGTCGACCCGTCGGCATTTACATTGGCACTGGTTGAGCTCAAGTTTAAGGACCAATGGCTTGGACGCAGCGACATGTGGCGTTTTGGGAAGACTTTGATAGATTCAGCTGTTTATATGTCAAAGAAGTTAAGTTTTGCTGGTGCACGAGCTGAAGTTCATGAAATGTGGGCGAGTGGTGAGACGGCGAATAAAGTCACATGTGGTGTTGTCGGTAAAGATACGAGGGTGAGGGTTAGGGACGGGCATACACACGTACATACATACATACATACATACATACACACATACATACATACATACACACTTTATTTAGCTACGCTAGCCCCGACAACTACAATAGTTGATTTCCACGGGGGGCGTCCATATAAAAAAATATTACAAAGAATATAAAAGGCAAGGAAACTCAGTCTACTACTATTTGTACGTTGTGGCAAAAACTATTGTAATCCACGATGGTGTGTAGATAAAGAAATGATTAACTGAATCCAGACTCGGTTATTAACATCAAAAATTTTGTTTTATACAACTTTTAAATATGTAAATTGATTGAGCTTGCTTAGCTTCAAGAGCAAGGTTCTTCCAAAGATAAGCACCGCTATATTTAAAGCTTCTTTTGAGAAATTCTCTATTTGGCTTTGGAAGGGTCAGATCAGTTTGAGAATTTCTAAGATTATAATTGTTTAGTAAAATATTTCTACTTTAACTCATGAATGAATCTTGCACTATTACTCAAGACTTTATATAAGAATGTTGCCTTGGTTAAGATACCATCTTGTTTCCAAATTATCTCAGTCAAGAGTTCGCGAAGCACGGCAGCAGATCAGTTTCATAACTGGCGCCATCTATTATTCTGGTGGCCCGATTTTGGAACTTTTGTAAATTATCTTTTAGTGTTTTGTTACAAACCCCCCAAAGGGAAGAGCAGTAATCGAAGTAAGGCTGTATCAGGGCGTTATAAATTGATATCAATCTGTTTGCAGGAACATAGGGCTTGATACGCTTTAAAATTCCTATGCCCGCACCGACGTTTTGCAAACCATTTCAATATGTTCGTCCCAATTCAATGTTTCATCAAGTTTGACTCCCAAACACGGGATTAAGTGCACTCTGTGAATCAGTTGATCATTAATAATTACGGGGAACTCATTGTCAATTTTAGCAAGATTATGATTTGATCCGACATACATTAATTTGGCTTTTGTTGAATGATGCTGCAGTGCTAACAAGTTTGTTACAGCCATGATATAACAAGGATGTTACAAGGTTGTCAACACAAGGTTGTAACAATCATGTTGTATCAAAAACATGTAACGGATTTGTCAGAACAACCTTGCAACAAGTTTGATAATTTCGATAAGGTAACAACAAGCCAACAAGCCGTCAACAAAATGCCAACAAGCCGTCAACAAGATGTATTCACACTGCTTGTCACAAGTTGTCAAACAGGTTTGGAACAACTTGTGACAAGCAGTGCGAATACATCTTGTTGACGGCTTGTTGGCATTTTACTCGAAAATTGGGGTACACACGTAAAAACGCACAAGTTGTTACAGGTCTGCATGCCGGCAAACAAGTTGTCACAAATCTGTTCACGAGCTGTCGACAAGATGTGTTCGTACTGCTTGTTCCCAGTTGTTGTAACTTGTAACAAGTTTGGAACAAGCTGTTAACAACTTGCAACAAGGTTGATGGCATTATCAGACTTGTTACAAGGTTGTTCTAACAAGTCTGATACACTCATGATATAACAAGAATGTTACAAAGTTGACGACACAAGGTTGTAACAACATTGTTATATCATGACTGTATCGGACTTGTTGGAACAACCTTGCAACAAGTCCGGATAATATCGACAAGGTTGTTACAAATTGTTAACAGCTTACTCCAAACTTTTTGACAACTTGGGACAAGCAGTGCGAGTGCGAACACAACCTATTGACGGCTTGTTGCCAGACGTGCTACAAGATGTGAGATTTTTGCTTGTGTAGTCAGAAGTCAGAACATGCAGTTCAGAACAGTCATGTGACTGTCTTCTGGTCCGAACAGTAAATGGAGCAGCTTGCTAGAGACGCCTGAGGAGAAGGTTATAGACAGTAAACATTTTTATTTTTTCCGATCCGTAATCCCAGGTCCGTAACGTAAATGGACCGCTCTGAGGGATCCATATCACACGATACCGACCTCTCGCACACGTTACGGTATGGTCGAGGGGCGAGGGTCGAGGGTAATAGGTCGAGGGCGAGGGTAGAATGTCGAGGGTCGAAAAAAATGTCGAGGGTCGAAAAAAATGTCGAGGGTCGAAAAAAAATGTCGAGGGTCAATTTTTTGACTCTATGATTTGTTCGCAAATTTTCAGTAACAGAATCAAATACTTACCATTACACATACGTATCACACTTAATTAACTTGCTTTTGCCCAACGTCAATGTTTTATCCCTATTATGGAATTTGTCATGGCGCAGAGTAAGTATGCTTCGCTATTAAACGCAAAGTTTAGTTTGAACAAACAGATATGTTTTATACGCCGATGTATACTAAGTAACGAATAAACCCTAATTTGATCATTATCAACATTATGAAGTTAACTGATCAAATTTCGATCGCTGCAGTCAAAAGGCGCCACTTCACATGCCATTTGATAAACATAACATAACCCTTTGCGACCTTTGTGCACTCATGATTTCAGCAATCATTACGATCCACAAAAGCGATATATAGTACTGTATAGCTATGTTTCCCGCATGATCTAGAAACCCACGACTAAACACTAATGTCGTA